TATTTCAGTACCTGAGAGGCAAAAAAGCAGCAATTAGGCACAGCACAGTTTAAATAATTCAATAGTTAATTTAACTTGCCAGCTTTCAGAATATTTTTTACCTCCAAGACTGTATTTCAGCATAGAAGCAGCAACTTGGGAGAGGTAAGATATAAGAGTATAATATGGTAAAATGTAATATAATGCAAAATCTCAAATGTGAAGAGAACTACTATTATTTAAAGGGAAATATGGTCAGTGTCCAATCTGTGAATATTTCATGTGAAAAAGATGAGGCATTTCTCTATACCTCTCCCTAATAAATGTGATTACGTAGGTATTAACCTGCAGAGGGTAAAGCAGATTGGGCCTGGTCGTACCACTGACAAATGATCCAAGATGGTCTGTGCTCTGTATGTGATTTTTTCCCACATCACCAATGGCTAAAAATCGACAGGGAATCTTTGGCTCCATGTAAAAGTATCATAGTCGTACTTAGAATATGCATCAGAACCCTATTAGTGGCATTATAGTTCCCCTGCCAAACTGCCATGCTGATACCCCACTGCCACACAGCTTGGTGCAGGTTTCAGCAATGACAATATGGAGATGAAGGGATGGGTCTTGTAGTTAAAGGACTAGCCTGGGATTCAGGAGTTGAGTCCAACTCCCAGCTCTGCCACAGACTTTCTGCATGGCTTTTGGCAAGTCAAGTCTTCCTCTTCACCCATCAGTAAAAGTACTTGTCAAGGGCACTGTGTGTCTGTCTGCATCTATTAACACATGGAGGTGCACAGACCCTGCAGTCAGCGATGGCCAGCACAGAAAAAACACACAAACAAACAGTGAATGACAGAAGAATTGAAGCAAGGTTGGGTATCGCTCCTCTGGCACACCCTGTGGTTGGAAACATGGGTGCCACTGCTGCACCAAAGAATTTCCTACCATGCAATACTGACTGCAAGAGCTGCACATGGGAGCCAGGAAAGTCAACACACATGAGTTAAAACCTGTTCAATCCTTGCCTGGTCTCAAATTGGAAGACTGTCCTCTTCCAGCCCTTAGGAGGCAACATTACAAATTTTCCCACTTGTCAAGTTAGGAGACAAACTGAGTGAAAAACTGAGCCTCTTGCCATGAGAAAAGGCCACTGTAATCGTCTTACAAAGGAAATGTATGCGGTTTTCAACAACTATGAGCCAGAAGACACCAAAGAACACTGTTATGCACAACGTACAAAAATGGCTCATTCAGGATCGAGACCTTGATGGTGGATGCAGGAAGTGGCAGTGCTTTGCTTCAGTGTGAGGAAGATTCAGGACTCTAGCCTGACTCAGGGCAAGGGCAGATCTATACATGCCTCAGTGTTACTTACTATCCCAGGGCAGATCCCACAGGAGGTGCCTATTATGGGACCAGTCCACTAGGTGGTGGGAGAGCAGTCGGTGGTAATAGCCTATTTGCCTTCAGCAAATGGCTACCCTAGGATAGACATAGATGAAACTTAAACTGGTGTAACTTACACCAGTGGACTTTTGCCCCAAGTGGTGACTCTCTACCAGATTGGGCAAAGTTACATTATCTGCCCCTTATTTGTTAAACTGATGCAAACATTTAATCTGTCCACACCCTAAGACTCCCTCAAACTTTATACTGTAAAAGGACAGGAGTACGGTATAAGGTACATGGTGTCCTTGTGCCTGTAGACAATAACCTCATGTGGAATATTAAATGGTACAAATCTCGAGGACCTCCTTCACATCCATTTCAGCTGGAAGGATGGAAGGAGAAAAGCAAGAGAAGTGGCTACTGTGTCAGGCCATGAGGATGGGGGGCAATGAAAGTGGGGGGATAAACAGGAAGGTAGAAAGGGTGATTGAGATAGCTGAAAGGCAAGTCTAAGTTTTTAGGAGAAAGAGGAATAGGAGAAGAAAGATAAAGGAGCAAGGTTGGTTCCCATCTGTGATTCTGAAGCAATGAGCAACATTATGCTTTTGATGTATATTTGGTGTACTCATTAGTTTTCTGCCGCTACTCAATGAGCAGAGCTCTTTCAGAAGGAAACCATCCCCCCAAGCAGCTGCAGAGATAGGCTCAATGGTGGTAATAAGAATTAAACACATCTGTTGAGAGAAGCTTATACCAGGGAAGAAGCATTTCAGCAAGCCCTTTATGAAGTACACATAAAGTCTCATTCACTACATCAGGTCCTTTTCATGCTAATCTCAGCCCCTTGCAATGCTCATAAAAAACAACAAGCTTGAAGGAAACAATGACATCTCCCTGATTTTGCTATGATGCTATGACCCAGACTAGTTTACATCAGCATATCTCAAAGTGCTTTACAAAAGTGGTAAGCATTGTTTTCTTCAATGCAGAGGAGAGAAAACTGACCTCCGGCTGGGTTAGGTGCTAAATGAAAAGCCATCTAGACTTCCTAGGTCTCTGTCCATTGCCTTGCATAAACACTGAAAGTCACATTGTACATACTAATTAAAAAGCAAAGTGCGAGCGACTTTCAAATGGTTACAACTGACACTAGAATGGGAGACCATCCTCAGATGGTCACTGGAGTGCTGGATGGTAAATAAATTAAGCAAAGTCAAATCGGTAGTCATACAGTACACCTTATTTTATTTCATCTTTCATCTGATAAGGACTTTTGAGATGCAAATGTACACCCCCTCCCATAATTAATACATCTTTTGCAGGCATCTCTACCAAAACAACAACAAAAACCTCCTCTTTGGTTAATACTAGAGCTACTTTTTATCATTTTTTGAAAACTTCATCCCAGAAGGAAACCAAAATACACACAATTGCTATACAATAGCATTGTTTTGTTTTGTTTTTTAATGGATGTAGATGAAGACTCCAGGTTTCCACTCTATGGTTACAGAGAAGTAACTAAACAGCTTAAGGTATGAAAGTTTTGTGACCAGTGTTGCACCATTGGACACAACGGCTGACAGGGCATGACTGAGGTTATGGAAGGAAACATTACATGCAATCAGGTCCTCTGAAATGCACCTGGAACCCCATGAGGACCTTTCCAGAGTGGCTGATCTGGACTGGCCAACATGGTGATGCCTAAATAGCCTGTGCACGCAAACTGGAAGATCAAAAACAAACATGATTAAACGGGACTACTCTAACGATACAGATATATGCAAGTGCATTGAAGTACAGACTATGGAGCACCTGCTCATTTGCTGACTCCTGTATGAGACCTATACAAAAGAGGACCTCACTACAGTAATGGAAAAAGCTATCACTTGTACACAATTCTGGAAAAAACATCTAGTTTATGACAAGGACACGAGAAAAAGAATGGATGTTCCTACTGTGTAGTATATACCTACTAGTTCTTTCTGAGCTGAAAGTGTCTACTACGACATCCAGAACTTACTTCTAGTAGGTAGGGGTGTGTGAAATGAACCATATTCAATTTGGATCCGGCCTGAATTGGGGACAGTGATTCAATTTGGCCAAATCCAAATCTGAAGATTTGATGCCAATTCAGAGAATCAGTGATATGGACACAGACCCAACTTTAAATGTTTTTTCTACATACCTCGAGGTACCAGGCGTGGTTCATGAATGCTGCGAATCGTTCCACAGGAGCATGGGGGTGTTTCCCACGTGCTTGGCAGCAAACCTGAAAGCAGACCGGAAGTACTCCCGGGTCCACCACTGACTGCACTAAGTGGCCCCCCTATCGTCCCCCGGCTTAGTGATCGGGCACGGGGGGGACTCCGGGTGCCCCTCCAGACCCAGGAGATACCAGTTGCCAAGCTGGAGGGGCATGGGGGAGGCTCCCCGTGCATTCCCCAGCAGACCCGGAAGCAGACTGGAAGTGCTTCTGGTCCACTTCTGGGTCTGCTGCCAAGCGTGCTGGGACCCTCCCGCACTCCTGTGGGATGCTCCATCTGCCCCACCATCGCAGCATTGACGAGCTGCCTGGTACCTTGAGGTACGTAGAAAAAACATTTAAAGCTGTGTCTATGGCCGAATCATCGAATCTCTCCAAATTGGATTGGATTCAGAGAGATTAAAGGGTCTCCTGATCCGATTCGGAGATTCGGCCACCGAATCAAGCCAAATCTCTGCCAAATTGAATCAGGGACCAAAGCTTCACACAGCCCTACTAGTAGGGAAATCTACTGGGGAATTTACTAAAATATCTCAGAACAGGAAAGCCTGGCATCACCTACACGGAAATGATTTTTTTTGGCTTTTGTTCTCCCCTTCTGCTGGATCCTCAGGAATAATGGAGCAACTGACAGTAGTAAAATCCTCAAGCAGCCTGGGCCCACAGAAGTTAGCAGAGTTCTGAAGATTTACTCTAGCTGAGGATCTGACCCATTAAACTCAGAGCTATGCTCATGTCATCAGTGCCGCTGGCTTGGAAAACAGGATGCTAACAAAGTGAGGCATGCTAATTTCAAGGCCCATTAGAAACAAAGGGGAAAAAAATCAATTTCCCCCAATGTGAATACAAGAAGGAAAAAAAAAGTATATGGAAATTATATTCAAGCTTCTAGTGGGAAATGACCTACAGAGAGTAAACAGAACAAGAAATTAATGACAGTGGAAAATAAACAAAATAAAACAAAATGAAAGTATTTGCAAATGTCCTTAAAAAAAATCCATCTGTCCTGAGCACAAAACTTGCTTGAAAGACTTTTCCTCATTACCCAACTTTAGAGAGATCAGATGAGTTTCCAGGTAAAAATGCTTCCTGATATGTTGAACCACATGAAAATTAGAACAGCAGTTTTTCATGGATCTAGCAGCCACTGCAGAAGGCTTCCACAATTTACAGGGCTACATTATTAAAATTAAATTGCTAATGTAGTTGTAACAACAGCCTCCTGTGAGCTCATCCCTGCAGTTGTCCTGCCTCCCCTGTGACTGAACAAATCTCAAGCATTTGGGATGCAAGATACAGTGTAATAGCACTGATCTCCCAGTGGGAAGTACAGAATGCAGACAGGCATGTGGCCATCAACATGTCTTACCAGCCAGTGTTGAACTCAACATGAGCATCGAAGAAACCAACAACGGGAGCGGTTGCCGCTTTCCAGCCTTGGATTCTGGCTCTAATCAATCCTTCCCGTTTGTTGTTACGCACTATTTTCACCAGGCCTGGGTATCTCTTATTGACATACTGATCCAGATTAAACTTCAGCTCAACTGCAAAATAGAAACATATGCACGCTCTCAAAGAGAGTCCAACCAAGAACAGAGCATCTTAATTCATTCTGATTTATCCTGGAGCAAACATTTTTAAGACTACAGGGGAAAAAATCCCGAAGTTTAGCTGCTTCCAAATAATTGGCAAATTCTGCTCACGTAAGCAGGCCAAATCCCAAGGCCTTGGCTTGGAATTGAGGTGTTTCTTTACATCTCCCCTGATGCAGTCTGGTTATTAGATTGTAGAAACTGGCTTTTATAGACATTGGGGCTCAATATGAGACTTGGGATTTTGTCCAATGTTTAGAGAAATTCAAGCTTGAATCAGTTCCAAAATAATTATTTTATACATTCCCTGGACAACTTCTTGGGTACCTGAAGTTGCAGTCCCAGTTCTGACCATGTACTACGGTCACTCGGTTGACATCAGTGGAGGTGCTTCTGATTTACACTTGCCAATGATAAATTTTCCTAGTGCCTTCACTGAGCCAAATCAGAATGAGACTTGGGAGCTTAAGGGTTTGCACTTAGATGCCACTCAGAAGCTGTAACCACATATATCTTCATCTTAAAAATAAACCTGGCACTGAAAATCAAAAACCAGGCCCCCTTCTCTGTTCCATTTACCTCATTTAATTACATGCAAGTCCAAATTCACCAGCTGCTTCCTTTCAATAGGCTCATAAAGAGACAAATTGTTAAGACAGGTATCTGCTTCTTTAAAAAGCCTCAGCCTTGTTATTATTTAGACTAAATTTTACTTACAAGATTTTATTTATTATATATTCACTAAATACATTTGTGGTAGCCTCCATGGCATTAGGGACCTCTGTTGAGGCACTCCACATTACAGAATAGAACAATTACCATTCAAACCAGAGGATCTGGTTCATCCTTAATTACCTTGAAAAGCAGTGGGGAAAGCTACTTGCAGTCACTGACTCAAATTCTGCTCGCTTACACTGGTCAGTGTCCTAAATAACCCCACTAAACTTAAATAATGACTTGATAATCAACCCGGTATAAGTGAGAGTAGAATTTGACCAAGCATTTCTATATCTTGTATTTTTTGGGTGTGGATTTTATTATCATCAGCATCATTATTATTTTATTTCTTTGTTTCTCTCTCTCACCCACTTTTTTGAAGTTCTCGAGAAAGACTACTATCTGAAAAAGGAGGGTTTAAATTGCTGGGCTAGCAGGAAAATGCTATACTTGAGATCTTATTTTAGCTGGAGCTATTTGAAGACACTGAATCTTCATTTTTTTTTCTTAGGAAGAAACAACGTGAAACAAAAAGAATATGTACCTTTACAACATAATTGTTAACAAGGAAAAGGTCATGCTGATCTATATTTTTAGTCCCGTCAAGATGAATATTAGTTACTGCACGTTATTTTTGTCCTCATTAACTTCATGACTTCATTGTTCCATTGGCTTTGTGCCCATTCTTGTCATTTGATTCAAACAAGCTAACTGATAGATGTTGAGTACCAAAACAATTCAGAATCAGATTCTGATCTTAACTCCCACCCGAGTCAACTGGGAACAACTGTGTGGACTTCAGTGGAATTGCTTCCTAGTTATCCCTAGGTAGACAAGAGAAGACGCTATCCTCAGAAAGACTCAGTAGCCTCAATTTCCTGTTTAAACATAATTGTTAAATTTGAGATTTGGGGCTATTCACTAACATATTGTCCTGGTGGAAATTTGGCAACTGAATAAACTGTCTGAACCCTTAAAAAAACACCAAGTTTTGGTAAAGTTTTATATTCTGTCAAGAATTTTATGCAAGAATATATTAGGTCTTACAAACCTTACTGATGCCAATACATAATTACTCAAGTGGGTCATTTCAGTAATTTAGTAGCACAACCTTACTGGGCTCATGGGACCAGATCTGCAGTTGGTCAGCCCTACTGACTTCAAGGAAGATAGTTTGATTTTCATTTTCACCAGTTTGAGATCTAACTTCTTATTTACAAATCAGAAGTTTTATTTGTGAATTTCCCCAATCCATCTCATTTAGATGAGCCCTGACTGAATTCCCATACAGGCAAATATTAGAAAACTCCATTTAAATAGAAGCAGGCAAGGTAGTCTTGGTTTACATGTCAGTCCCATTAGGAAACACAAGATAAAACACATAAGAATAAAAGGCAGATGTTAGTAATGTTCACCGTTATCACTGTTGTCATCCACCAGAATGATCTCCTTGAGCAAATGGGATGGAGTATGGTTCACAACACTGTGCACAGAGCGCAAGATGACAGACAGTGCCTCGTTTACAAAAATAAACACCACCGAAATCTGGGGCAGGTCATCAGGGTAGGTCATCTGCTTGCACCTGTAGAGAACAAGGCAAGAACTAAAACCCAATAAGAGACTGAGATGTTAAATACATGGAAAAAAGGGTTTCACATCCCTCCTCCCCAGCATGTGGACATACCGATCTTGTTCATTATAAATGACTGTAATAAATGGCATCCCCAAGGTAATATTCTATTCGGGTGCAAATAAAGACCAGTTTAACACAAAAGACAAATCACCTAGTTAAGTGCTGCTAACACTTAATCAGCTTAATGAAAAAAGAACCATACATTTGCTTATGCCTGCATGTAGACAGGATTTGTGGGCAATTTTAGTTTCAGGAAAGTTGAAAGTGTCTTATAAAAATGAACAATACAGAACCTTTATCAATTAATATATTTTGCTCTAAGATGCTAGAAAAAGCATCACGTTAAGGATTGTAGCTCTGTTCCCACTAATGTCAATGGGATGTTATTGACTTAAATGGAAATAGGACGTGGACCCAATTTTTCAATTAGCATCAAACTAAAAACTGTGCAGAAATTTTGAAAGTTAACTCCATGAACACCAAAGCAAACTCCACGTGTCCATGCACACAAGCCCTTGTCTTGTCAGCTGGGCACAGGAACATAGCTAGACAATTTTGGAGCCTGAGCAGTGGCGATGCATGGGACAGTGTAGTCACCAGGACCAGTAATGGCTGCTATTTTTGTGCCCCCACCCCAAGTTAACACCTAGGACTGGTGCCTCATTTGCACCCACCCTCCCCCAACACACCGTTACACTAATTTAGGGGTAATTACAGGACTTCCAAATGCATGCCTTGAAGGATGCATTTGCAAAATTTACAGCCACAATTTGGTCAACCACATTTTTCAAATTCTATTGCCTTGTGTCTATACTTCATGAGTAGTAGTTTCCACTAGCTTTGCTGTTACGTATTGGTGATGTTCATTTATATGGACTACTGAAACCCCAATAGCAAATAAATATTCTGTACCAATAAATATTCTGCACCCCAAGTTCAAAATGAGAAAAGGTTGTTAATTCAAATTAAATTTGTCACTTCAATTAAAAATACAGGACTAAAATATGCTGGTGGAATTGGAAAAGATTGTAAGTCATGCAAATCTCTCCCATAGAAATATCTGTTACCTAATGTACAGTCTTGTAAACCCTACCCAGTCTCTTTTTTACATCATCTACGACAATGGTAGGTAGACAGAGAAATAAACACAAGGGACAACCACCATCTAATCCAGTGCAAGAAATACACAAAATACAACCTTCTTCAAACCTCCGAGTCAAATGGGGGGGAACTATGTTCCCTGCACCCACCCCAAACAAAGGCTAAATTTGTGCTAGTGTGGTTGTGACTTTATTAGGAATCACCTGGTGCTGGGGGGAAGGCTTGGTCGGTCTCTCTGTCCCTGAATGTTCAAGAATTAGAAGATGGGGAGAAACAAAAAAAAGAGGTTGCCATTACCATGACACATCTCTATTTTTGAAGAGATAAGCATCTCACCAATGATGTCTGGGCCTCTTGCCCTAGAAATGCTGGCATGTGCATATCTGTCCTATTGGACTGATGTGCGTGTCAATTTAAGAATCATTCTTAGGCACAGCTGATTCATACAGGTAATCATTCTTCCTCAGACCTACAACTAAATGGTAAATGATGCTGGCCATCACAAGGTTAGCATTTAAGGGCGTGTAGACTAAACAGGGGCCCTAAATTGAAGCAGTGGGTTTTTAAAAACACCACTTCAATTTAGGGCTGATTAAACCCCCATGTCATGTGCACACCTGACTTACCTGCCTCTCCGGCAGCGGGGAGAGAGGGCGAGTGGTTCCTGGGCTGCAGGAGGGGCTGGGCTTCCTTCCATGGCAGATGTGCCCCCCCTGCCCCCAGGGAGCACCACCCACAGGCACCCGGCTCCGGTGGTGCCGGGGGGCACCACAGCCACAGAGGGAAGCACCGGGCCCCCACACACCTCAGGTGGGCAGGCAGACTCCAAGAGGGAGGGGGCGGGGTGGGAAAAGATCAGGCTCACCACTTTTCTTAGGCAGAGCCTGCCTTCCCGGGCTGCTGCCAGGCTGCCTGCAGGGTTTTCTGCAGAGATGTGGAGCTGCACAGAGCCTAGTGCTTCACTCCACGGCCGCAGGGGAAGCAAAGTAAAACTCCTCGGAGAAGTTTTAGTTTGCTGCGCCCAAAGTCATTTAAGGCGTGTTACACTGCTGAATTTTCTACAGCAGCTGGAATTAATACACAATACCCCACTGAGGCATGCAAACACCGATACCATTAAAGCGGTGCAAAAGCATTAACCCCGCTTTAAAAAGTGTCATGCACACACAGCCCTCGTTTCATCTACACATGGCCTAACACAGGGGCAGGCAATTATTTCAGCTGGAAGCCTGCTTAATGAGTTTTGGTGAGCTGCCAAGGGCCGCAAGGGTAGCCACACCCCCGGTCACCATCTTGCAACTGGAAGCCCCACCCCCTAACCCCTGACCTTTGCCACTAGCAGTCCCTCCCCTTGCCCCAGAAGTACTCCTTTTGGGAAGGGGGTTTGCTATCTAGGAACCAGGAAAAAATTATATACTAAAAATCAAACATCTACAATAACGTATTTTAATTTTATTTTTAAAAGATATTTTTGTCCTGATTTGTGTGCGTTTGTGTCATGTATATGGAAGTACCCCACCAGCACTGCTGTTGCTGCAGTGGTTCAGTGTGAGCAGGTGAGTCCGCAGCAGGCATGGGGCAGGGCTGTGCACATGTCCCTGCCAGTACTGTAGGGCTGGGGCCAGGGGCGGTGGCAGCCAGGAGCTGCTGCCACCTGGGTTGCCTAGAAAGGCTGTCCAGCTGCAAAGCCACCCCAGTCCTGCTGCACACTCAGGGGGTGGCAGGACGCATCATGGCAGAAGGGTGCCTGAACCAGGTGGGACCGAGGGACTCGCCGTGGGCCCGATAAAGCCCCTCCGCAGGCCAGATCTAATCCACAGACCATATTTTGCCCATCCCTGATTTAACAAGATACAAATTCTCTGCCACATCAGGGCAGTGAGTGAGTGGCAGCAGAATCAAACTGCATCTACTGATGCTAACACAATACCAACACAGCTGCTCTTGCAGCAACTCTCCTTCCACAGGGACAGAAATGGACTGGCTGGGAGACTGGTGTAGTCTCTGATCCACTAATCCTGCCACAACCCTCCTGGCAGATAACAGCTGTCTGACAGGCAGAGGGTGCAAGCCTCTTTGCTGATGCCCCTCTTGTATCATGGGAATTGCAGCCTTTTGCAGGTTCAAGAGGGTTAGTGGTAGAGACATAACCTCTGCCAAAATCAGGAAGAAAGGATCATCAAAAGGTACATGGTTACTAGATCATGACAGATGAAATAATAACACAACCTAAAGGATGTTATTGGTTTGGCTGAACAACGGGGGCTTAGTTGCTCTTTCTTCAGGAGGGGATAGAAACATCAGGTAAGATGAGGTCCAACTTCTGTATTGACAGACAGTGAGAAACAAGCTCTGCCACCTCCCCGGGCCCTTACCAACAACTATGGGAAGAGAAACAGGCCTGGAGAAGCAAAAAGTGACTTGCCAGAACCAGACAGCAGGCAAACGTCAGAGCCAGGAATAGGACTGAGATCCCCAAGTCCCAGTTCAGCGCCCCGTCTGCTGCACCATGCTGCCTTGTTTTAATGAAAATGTCTCCCACTAGCAAAGAAACCAATGTAAAAAATTACCTCCATGTTCTCACAGTCAAAAGCCATTCCAAATTACCATAGCAATTATCGAGCCTCTCCTCTAAAATACTGCTAATGATACTACAGGAAACGACTTCTCCTGCTCCTATGCAACTTTCTGACCTCTTTGCTCATCACTTCAGCATAATGATTCCCTTTTCCCCTCCTCCCACCATTAGCAGTTATTTTGGGGGGATGACAACTGCTTGACTGCTAGGTAACCTCTGGAAATCTGTTATGAAATTTAGAAATGAACAATTATTCAGGATTCCCACTCGTTCCAATCTTATTTTCTGTCTTGGCATTGATTGTAGTGTTACCATGGTTATTTAAAGTCCACTTGTGAGGGACCTGTACAAGAAAGAGGACCACTGGGCATAACTTCTGTATGAGCAGCATTCTTGTGTCATCTAAAAATAACTGGGTTTAGCAAGAACTGCGAATATTGTGATAGTTAGATTCTTTACTTGAGTTTCTCTTTGGATCAGATTCTCCTCTTGCTTGTGCCAAGTTTCTGTTGGAAGTGAACCGGGATAATTCATTTTTAAATGCACCAGAGGCACCAGTGAGTAATAAACTGGAATTCCTGTTATGGGAGATGGTATTTTAAAATAGTGCATAGAGACAGGCAACAGAGTAGCAGGCCCCGGGAAAAAAAAGGCATCATGAGTTTGATTCTGCTCCCATCCTTATTTATACATCTGGAGCTGGCTGGGTTAGAACAGGGTGGGCAATTATTTGGGCTGTAGGGCCACTTAGGACGTTTTGGTGAGCTGCTGTCAGGTCAGCACCCCGCTTCCCCTCCCTCACCGTGCTGGGTCAGCACCCTCCCCACCCCCCACAACAGCTCATCAAACTCCCTAACTGGCCTCCGCGCTGTGCCTGGGGGGGGCGGGCTGCGGGTGGGCAGGGAGCAGCATCCAGGAGTGAAACGGGCAGGCAGGGCTGGGGCTTGGGATCGTGGGGTGGTGACAGCACAGGGCCGGGGCCTGAGGCAGAAGCTCAATCTGCTGCCCACAGAACCAGTACCCATCATGGGGATCTGCGGGCAGAGGATCATAGCTCTACCCTGGGCCCCGACGCTGTGCTGTCACAATCCTGGCCCACGATCCTGGCCCTACCCACCGGCCCCACTCCCAGCCATGATTCTCTACCCATCCACAGCCCCATCCCATCCCATCCCATCCACCCGGCTGCTCATTCTGCCTGCATAGGTTCTGGCTGGTCTCCACGAGACTCTATCTGATAGATGTCATGTTCTTGCAAGATGAGGATTGG